ATATTCATTCGACAATCGGTTCCTCAAATAAATCCAACTTTTGTCAATCGACATTTCAACTATAAACAGTAACAGACATAACAATTTATTAATGTGTTTAATTGATTTTAATTTTACTCTTTATTAACACAATTAAATTTTATTAATTAAAGTTTGTTAATGAACTTATTAAAATTCTCGTTTTCTAACTAAATTTCGGCAGCATAACGGCTTATTTTTCATATGATCCAAAAATCAAAACCTGCAGAAAAACAACTTTAAATGATTTCGGCACACTATAGCTGCAAGATGTGCCACCCAAAACAAGAATCATAAACATATACTAAATTTCAAAAATATAAGAAAATCATAATTCAAATATTGTCATCATAATCCCGAATTCATACAACCAAAAACTACAACAATTTTAAACTAAATAAATATAAAAAACTCACAAAGTTTAAACCCACTAAACGGGGGCTGAAAATAACATGATTACGTCCGAGGAACCGTGCAAACAGTGACGAAGGTGAAAAATTAAATGCCTTCATCAAATTAAAACATCGAACATAATTTTCAAACATCAAAATTAACATTTTATTAACAGCTAGAGTAACATATAGACACAATTCTTGATTAATCAATGCAAGTTTAAATTTTCACATTCTCAGAACCATAAAAAATGACTAAATTCAAACAAAAATCCATAACATTTTCTATTTTCTATTTCCTTCTTCTATTTTCTCGGCAAGTAACAACAATCCCTAACAAAAATCCTTAAAAATCCCTAACATTCTTCGAATCAATGCAAGTAACCAAACAAAAAAAAAATTTACAAAAAGAAAAAAAAGTAAAAACCCAAACCTGAAATTCTGGCGGGAGCGGGGCGGCAGGAGCGGGGTCGGTGGCCGGAGAGGGGAACAAGAGAGAAGGGAGCGGAAGAGAGAGAGAGAGAGAGAGAGAGAGAGAGAGAGAGAGAAAAGGGAAGAGAGAGAAGGGGGGAGAGAGAAAGGAAGAGAGAGAGAAGACGGCCGGCGGCGGGGGAGGCGGAGGCGGGGGCGGCGGTGGCGGTGAGGGGAAGAAGAGGCAGAGAGAGAGACTGAAACCGTCGGGGGGAAAATGAAGAGGAAGCTAGGGTATATTAGATTAGACTTATTTGCGATGACATTGTCGTCGTAAATACCCCACATCTGGAAATTATTTACAACGACATAATGTAGTCGCAAATAATCATTTTCCCGCGTTTAGTTCTTGGTCAAATCTGTAAAGCTTATTTACGATGACAAGAGAAAATATCATCACAAATAGAGTGATACTATTTGCGACGACATCTATCGTCGCAAATAATAAGATATTTGCGACTACACGTCGTCGCAAAAAATAGATTCCCTTCGGCGGCAAAAATCCGCGCCAAAACTACTTGCGACGACATTAAACTTATTAGCGACGACATGCTTAATTAATTTAACGGGGAGTAATTGCGACGACATGTCGTCGTAAATATTATATTATTTACGACGATATATGTCAGCGCAATTAATATCGTCGCAAATGGCCTTTATTGTTGTAATATATAAGCATCTGTAAACCCCTACAAACAAAATCAATACTATAAATAATCAACGAGAAACAATAAAAACAAAGAGAATTTCCCCATAATCCCCAAATTATAAGAGAATATAATCCTCAAATTGCAAGAGAATATAAGGAAAATAAAATAAAATAAAATAATGCCACCAACGTGGCAATGAAAGAAGTTTGACTTTGGACTTTTTTAGAGTACATGTACGCAACTAGCTTTTAATCTGGTACGTGAAAGGACAATAATCTTTATTGTACACCAAATAATTTCTGTTCGTCTAATTACTATCGGATGATTGTCATTTTAAGACTACCATTAGTCTAAAAAAGGCCGGTGCAAGTTCTCAAATTATAAATTCTGTAACTTTCTTTTTATGTTTTTCGTTATTATTTTTTGCTTAACTTTTTATGCTCATCAGTTTGTAACTTTATTTTCATTTATTTAAGTTGTTTGTTAGGTGTTTAATCAACTTTGAAGTAATTTAGAGTTTATATACCTTTTTTAGATTTATGGATGTTAATTCTTGCTTTATGTTTTCAATTGTAGTATTTAAATTTATCAAAAAGATCTAACAAATAGGTTGAACAGATAAATAAAAAAATAAAAAAATGTACAAAATGCTCAATTGTAGAAAATTAATTGGTCCAATTCAATCCAAACCTACCTTAATCGGATTGGATTGGATGATACATTCGTAATTTGATTGGATTAGATGTAATTTTTCAAAAACTGATCTTTGATTGATCTTTGATTGAATCCGTTGTTATATGACCAAAATAAATTGGATTGGATTGGATTGGATGAATGCCTATGCAAATCTAGTGCAACTTTCTCAATTGCTCAATCTTTCTTGCTATGACTCTTCTCAAAGTCAACTTGTGAGGGCACTGATAAATTTTCTGTTGGTCTTTAATTAACGGAAAAATTGTAAAACTATCCTTTTATAATAGTGATCTTTCTATATTGACCTCTTTAATCTTATAACTGTCCTTTTGTTACCATAGATCAACTTAAAGAAAATGCGCAATGCTGAATAAACGGGACAATATTAATTTCACATTTATGAGAGAATAGAGAACCTTGTGATCTAGCCTAAGTGCAAAAATTTCTTAATTTAATCTTCTTCTAATCCTTTTTGGCTATGGTTTTCTTTTCTCTAAATTGCTACATGAAAACTCACCACTTAGTGCTCTCGGTACTATCAGTTGGCACCATACCTGGTGTAGACTATCCGTGTGGACGTTTTCATACAGTCCAAAAGTACTATATATAAAACCATAAAGACATTTCATTTTTTTATTTTTTTTTTATTTTTAGGATTTATGGAGTTAGCAAAGAGACCAAATTGACCAACACAATCTAAGTTTCGGAAAAACTATTCAATTCGATCCAACTCTTAATCAATTTAATATCATTATTAATTCTCTGAGTGAGTTCTATTAATACTTTAATGGATGATTTATTTATGAACAAATCTTAATAGGATAATTTATGTTATTATTTCGATATCAAATATCAAATTAACACTGTAATGGGATATCATTAATCTTCATATCGAAGTTATGGAGTTCATATATATGAAATAGTGTTCCAGCTATTCATGATATTATTTCTCCAAAATACGCAAGGTTTATTTATTTTCGAATAAATTTCACTCATTACTATATCAGAAGACCTAATCTATGAATGTGAGTTCACCAAATTTTGATAAGTTCGAAGACTAACTCAGTACACCAAATTTTGATAAGTTCGGGCACTAACTGTTTGCCATTCTAAACTATGGGGATCAAACTGACACAATCTCTAATTTTCGGGGCTAAATTTGAAATTAATGCTTAAGTTTTTCATAGTTGTTTTTTTAATCATAGTTGTTCTTTTTTTTTTTTTTTTTTTTATTATTTTTTTTTTTTTTTTTTTTTTTTTTTTTTTCATTTTATGTGATGATCTTTTTGCAATAAGAAATTTTAATTTAAAGAGATATGAAGAGTAAAGAAGGGTGTGTGAATATAACCGCATACCCACCAATACACATAGACACATGATGGGATGTGAAAATTGGTAAACTTTAAATGCATTATTTTAAGATTTTTATTCTTTACTCTTAATTAATACCCTTTTGACTAAAAGATATTAATTTAAGAAACATGCATTTTAAAGGATATTTGTCTTTTTTTTTCTCTTTTTTTTTTTCTTTACTAGTTGTAGTGTTAAGATTGTTCTTAATGAACTTAAACAAAAGGGGCAATAAACATAAAAAAAAATTATTTATTTTTTGTTTTTTTGTTTATATTTGTTTACTCTTCATTTTTTTTAATTAATTGTGTCGCCTTTTTTCTTTTTTCATTTTGTTTATTTATTTCACCATTTTCATTTTTTATAATTTCGATTGATCAAGGTTTTTTTTTCTAGGGTGTTTTTATTTTTTTTGTGCCGCTTCATGTGCTATTTTATTGCACTTTCATTTCTTATTGTGTCCAATTAATATTCAATTAATTATATAATGCGACTCAGTTGTTTTTTTTTTTTCATTTATTATTTTGTTTATTATTTTTTTGCGACTCAGTTGTCTTTTGTTTTTCATTTACTTTTTTGTTGTTTTTTAATCGTTTATTTTACAATTTTTTTTCTTTGCTTATTCCATTCGGACGCTTTTACAGAATGACTTCTCTATTCCAAGTTAATGAAATCCACTATTGAACTTTTTTTTTCCTTAAAAAAAAAAAAAGCTCTGCCCCAATAATTCAAAAGTAATGTGAGGAATTGTAATAATCTTAAAAAAGGAATACAATATTAATAGTTAAGAAAATTATATTTTCGACAAATCAAGATTAAAATTAGGTGGGGGTATAAGAGAGTTAAATTAGGTATTATAAATTTTATCTATTAAAGGATAGATTTTTTCATATCTTTATTTTAGAAATATTAATTATTAGAACTACTCTATCTATTATTATGGTACTTTCCCTTTTCCTTTTTTTCCCCAAAAGATCTATGCAATATGGAACTTTCTTGTTCTCTTCGAAAAAGAAATCAGCGTTAATTAAGGGTTTTCCCTCACTCCGACCGGAATCGCATTGTAGATCGCTCGCAGTGCCAACATTCCGTTGTGCAAATACACCACCGATCGAGAATGGCTTCTTCCCAACCACGGAAGGAATCCATTGAGGAAGGGAAGACAAACGCAAATATGGCAAGTTAGACTTAATTGTTTGAGGGAGAGAATGTAATGCTAATTTTAGATAAAATGACCCAACTCATTGGTGCAAGTCTAATTATGCTAATTTTAGATAAAGGGGCCCAATTCATTGGTGTAATTAACTCTGATAAATTTAGTAACAATTTGTTCAGAATTAGGCATAGAACTCAATATATAAAGGAAAGGAAACCACAACCCAATTCGTCATTCGTCAAAAGACAATTCCAAAGGGAAAAAAAAAAACAAAAAAACAAAAAACAAAAACGTTGTCGAAAAGAGAAATCACATGCAGGATGGGTGTGCGATTAAACGTGGCTGCAATGACCTTGTTGGTGTTGTTTGCATCCCATGCAAACGCCCAAGTCTTCGACGTAACAGCGAATGGTGCGAAACCCAACGCCGATAGCACTCAAGTAAGTCCTAATTGATTAATTGTAAAAAATCATGGAATAAATTTGTAAAAAATGATGATAAACTTGGATATGTTTTTCGTGTGTACTTTTAGGCCTTGTTGACCACATGGAAAGAGGCTTGTGCATCGGCAACAAGAAGTAAAATAGTGGTGCCGAAAGGGGTATTCAAGGTAACACAAGCACTATTTCAGGGACCTTGCAAGGCTCCCATTGAGTTCAATCTGCAAGGGACATTGCAAGCCCCACCTGTCGGCGGCGGTTTCAAAGGCGGCGATACCTGGATTGGCTTCGAGCACGTCGACTTCCTTACTGTTTCCGGTAACGGAGTTTTCGACGGCCAGGGAAAGTCAGCTTGGGGTAAAAAATGCGACCATACCGAGTATTGCGGCAAGCAGCTTCCCATTGTAAGCTTCTTATTTATTTTCTTTAAGGGCAAAAAATAAAAATAAAAACCGAGAGAGAGAAAGCAGTACTCCATGCTTATTTATTCTCAAAGTTAAACGTAAAAATTAAAATTTTCACGAGTGCTCAACCTAATTAGTTATATTGAAAAAAAAAAAATTATTAAACAGAATCTCAGATTTGACTTCGTCACCAATTCCCTAGTCCAAGATGTGACCACCCTGGACAGCAAGCAATTCCACGTCAACGTTTTGGGATGTAAGAACGTAACGTTCCACAATTTCCATGTCATTGCACCGGAAAACAGTGTCAACACAGATGGAATCCACATTGGTCGCTCGACTGACATCAAAATTCTCAACTCAATCATCCAAACCGGCGACGATTGTGTGTCGATCGGCGACGGCAGCAAGCAAATCTACCTCACCCAGGTCACGTGCGGTCCCGGACATGGATTTGGCATAGGAAGCCTTGGAAAGTACTTAAACGAGCTGCCTGTTCAGGGAATATTTGTCACTGGTTGCACTCTCAAGAACACCCTGAACGGAGTCAGAATTAAGACTTGGCCAAACTCCTATCCCGGAACTGCTTCAGACATACATTTCGCGGACATAACAATGGAGAATGTGGGCAATCCTGTGTTGATTGACCAAGAGTACTGTCCATGGAACCAGTGCAACCTTAAGGTACTAATTATTTACGGTTTATAACTTTGATCCTGCCATAATTTCTTGACGAAAAAAGGCTATTAACATAAGATAATTCACGATGAATGCTAAGAACCACCGCATGCCAAGTAGTTGAACATAATTAAGGATCATTAGGTCAAACGATATATAGTAAGGGTGAGAGGAGATTTGGATCTGAAAAGGTGCAGATTCTATCCCGTATTGTATAAAAAAAAAGCAGTTGAACATAAATGTCACATAATAATAACAATAAAAATTACTACGTGCATGAATACCAAATTATTCTTATGCGACAGTTTAAATACATTGCATAAAAAGTTGGTTTACTTTAGTGCTTTTAAAAAGTTAAAATATTTCTTTAAAATAATATCTTAAATGACATGTGTGTGCATATATATATATATATATATATATATATGGTGGTTATATAAATTGTACTCATGATCATTATCAGGTTCCGTCCAAAGTTAAGCTCAGCAACATCAGCTTCAAGAAGATCCATGGCACAAGTTCAACTCCTCTTGCAGTCAATCTTGTGTGCAGCTCAGGAGCTCCTTGTCAAAACGTGGTGATTCAAGACATTAATCTGAAATACAGTGGAAGCCAAGGCCCAATTACTTCTAAATGCAAGAATGTCAAGCCCACCGTCGGCGGCGTACAGAACCCAGCGGCCTGCATCACTTCTGCTTAATTGATACAAGTTGACTACTTAGTTTTTCACATTTTTCAGTTGAAAAATAAGTCAGCTATACTATGAAGGACACAAATATAAAGTTACTTTTTATTTGTGTTTTGTTTTTTTTTTGGGTCCCTTTCATGCTCAATAGCCTATATAGGACATACTGTTGTTATGTATTCAAAAACTGCTGAGAAATTATTATAAAATAAAGTTAATATGAGAGCCTTTATAATCGATTGAAAATATATACGGTCCATTCTCTGTCTTTATTTTGTTCCCTTTTATTGTTTTATGGGGTTTCTTTTTTCTTTTTTCTTTCAAATCTCCCGTATATGCCTTTTAGATTATACTCGATTTGGATTTAGTATTTTGTGGGGAAGATATGAATAACTATACGTCCACTTAACAGCACTTATTGAGTATTTTTAGTTTAATTATGAGCATATAATACATACACAAATATTACTACCCAATTTCGAGATCTTTTATAGGCTTATAAAATAAATATAAAAGTAAAAAAAGAAGATTCTCTAAACAAAATTGGTACTGACTAAAGCTCCCTTCTCGCTGTAAGTTTCCAACTCAATTTATTTAATGAAAAGAAAATTATTAAAAAGAAATGAAAGGGTATATTTAACAAAATAGACCTACAAAATTTCTTATTTTATACTTTTACTATTACTTTTTTTCCATGAATTTAGTTTTATTGAATAAATTTACTTTATTAACTTTTTAAGAATTTAAAAGGTTCCTTTTTTTAGATATCACTTATCATAATTTCTATAGAATTATTTTGTTAGACGTGTTAATTATGCTTTTTTGTCCTTTTTTTGAACTTTCGATATTTAGAAGAAGAAATTATTCATTAGACCCGGCATTAATTATATGATATCATCATTCTTATGCACTACAACTGTCTAATAAATATGTGCTTAACATTTGGATCAATTGTTTTTTTTTATTATTTTGAATTCATTATTTGGACTATTTTTTAATATTCTTTATCTAATCATCTTTTTTCTTTCAATATTCATGAGTTTAATTATTTAGTTAAATGCTTAAATACTACATCTAAATCTATTATGTTAATCCATTAAAAAAAATCTAGTATATTAATTGATTTTAAATAGCCTTATTATTCTTTTTTTGAAAAGAAAATAACCTTACGTTTGTTGCTTATAAAACTTTTGTTGTTGCAGTACCAAATTCTCCACGCCTCTCATAACGAAACTTTTTTTTTTCCTTTTGTTTTTAATTGCTTTCATGTATATATTTACTCATTTATTTATTTTGAAGAAAGGTTGCTGTTTTTTCTTTTGTCCAAGTTTCCTAAATGCATTTTAGGTGTAGAAATAATATTTTTCTAAGCATTAAAAATATTATTAATTGAAATTGATTTATATAAATGGTGGTTTTATTTACACACCCGTTTTCACTCTCTACACCCCTTTCTAAATGCACACCCCACTTAATTTTAAAATGATTATATTGACTTTCTGCATTCCCCTATTATTTCCAAATATACCGCAAACTATTTCAATAAAAATATTTATTAACCAATTCATTTTTTTGTTTTGTTTTCACAATCGCCATTTTATTTTAATTTAATGTTATCATTTCTATATCTTTTCTTTTTTTATGAAGCCTTTTTTCATACATAATGAAATTTGCTATAACATGTTTTTTAGAAAAATAAAATATATTAATTTTAAAAAATAAAAATCATAATAGCACAAACAATAATAAAAAAAGTAAATAAAAAAAACGCAACAAAGAGAATTTCATCTTTAAGACATTAGTCCCGTTATGTTAAAACGCAGATTTTGGCTAAGTTTTTTATGTGTATTTGCAGGTAGAAATTTTTATATAATTTCTGTTGTTAATACAATCTCAAGAGGAAGGGTCATTGAATCCTTCTCTCTTTTCATGAATTTCTTTTTCCTTTGTTTTACATGGTTGTCGCGTTAACAACAATCATCATACAACATATAGCGAGAAAATTTAACATAACTTTATATGTTTTTTTTTTTTTTTGAAATACTCATCCAAATAAGAAAATTAATTTTTTTTTATAGATATCAAGATAGCAATAGTTTATAAATTGGAGATATAACATGTTGGGTGTGGGGAGAAAAAAAAAAAAAAAAACCTATTCTCAGTTCCCTTTTTATTATAAAAATTCAATTAAGTAACTAAAAAAAGAAAAAAAAAAAAGAGTTCATTTTCTTAAAAAAAAAAACGCAAACGCAAACAGTATTTTTTTTAAAACTTATTATATATATATATATATATATTAGGACATAATCTACCATATTTTTTCAGAAAAAAAATACCATAATGTCTTTTTAATTGTGACATTCTTTTTTGTCTTTAATCCCTTCTTATTTTCTATTTTCCCTTTTTCCGTGTTTAGCTTTTGAGATTTCGCGTGTCGGTTAATTTTCCAAACACCTGATATTTCTATAATCGCGACCTTTCCATCCTATAAATACGGTTCCCGTCTCTTTCATTTTCTTGTTCACAAAGTTTCACTGTTGCCTTCACACCTTGCATATCCAATACGTACGTTCTTTCAATATTACTTCTTTCCCTGTTTCTTTTTACAGTGATTTTCTTGTTTTTTTTTATCTGTTTCTTCGGTTTCAGTGTAATTCCCTCCCGTTTATGAAGTAAAATTAGCGAAATTTAACAAACAAAACATAGTATTTGAAAAATGTTTTTCATTTTCTTTTTGCATGTAAAACAGAGTATGTATAATATATCCAATAAAAACCACTTAGATACATACATATATATATATATATATTTATATATATATATACACACACACACACACACACACACACACATATTCCGTTTGTGATTTGTATTCAGATACATTATTAATAGTCGTGTTATAACTGCAGTTTTATATTGTGTAATTTTTCTCATATGGAACTGCACCGCGTTTCTGTTTTTAACACCATTTAAGTTCTTTTACTCTGTTTTACTAAATATGTGACCCATGGTATTTTGCTTATCAAAAATATAACAATCCATTATAGACTCCTTGTAAAGCAGGGAATTTAAAAGAATACTGATAAACTCTTTTTTTTTTTCCCTGAATCACAGAATCAATAAGAAAACTCGAAAAGAAGAGAGGAAAAAAAATGGGAAGTTATAAGTTTCTGCTTCTTCTGCTGATCTTACTCTCATTTTCAAGCTCTGGTATGCCATTGTTTTGGTCTTCTTCTTCTTCTGCTTCTCAGAACCCGGGAGAAAATGCTGCACTATCCGGTTTAATTGACGTGGCTGCTGAATTCTCTATTGATGCGCTCAACGACGACAAGGGAGTCGAGAGGCTCAAGAATGCGCAAAGAAAACTAGTTGGTTCCAAATCATGCTGGCATGGAGCTTATCAAGGGATATTCGGGGCGTGCTCCGAAATCGCCGCGGATGACAGCGAGAAGAGGAAGAGGTTTGCTTGGGATCTAAGTAACTGCTTCCAAAAGGACTCTGGAAGGCCTTCTTTTCCTTCTTGCCGGGCCAACTCTCCCATGAAAGATTGCCTTGAGAAATTGGACAATAATGCTATTCATACTTACCGCGGATTTTTCCTTGAGACCAACTCCATTTGTCATCAGCTACAGTTGAGTACTACTATATTGCCTTGTTGATCTTAAATCTTGTAATTGTACTTTAAATTCCTTTTTATAATGTCCACATATTTGAAAAATTTGGAATCTTCATTCAATAACATAGTGTTAGGCATATCGAGTTCCTCGTCCTGACGGGAAAAATCACTTTGGTACTCTGTGTTTTGTTTGTAGGTCGGATATATTCAGGCGTCAAACAGAGAGACTGGTGAATGATTTGAAAAGGTCGGCAACATATGCAGAGAAAAAGCTGGAAACAATAGAAGAGAAATCAGAAAATTTGTTGCAGGACACTAAAGACATCCATAATTCTTTGAGTTCAATAGATGAACAGACCCAACAAGTGGCTCAGACAACAAGCAAAATCGGGAATTACGTTGCGGAGATTTCAAAGCAGTCGGAGGCGGCGTTTGAGCAATCCGAGAAAATCTCGTCTTCCCAAATGGAGTTGCAAAAGGGGCAAGACGTGATGAAGGAGAAAATGGAAGAAGGGATTGTTATGCTTCATGATTCTTACCATAATCTTGACAAGGAAATAGGAAGTTTGAGAGATGAGACTGTGCAAATAGAGAGAGAAATAACTAGAATTGGAGATACTATGTCTACTAAGATTAACATTCTTCATAACAAGGCTGACGATATAGAAAACCTTGCAGGGATTTCCTTGGAAAAGCAAAAAGAACTTCTGCAAGGGCAATCTGAAGCTCTTGGTGGGCTTCAGTTGCTCACTAAATTTCAGTCTCAAGCATTGGAAGAGAGCAGGTAGAACAAAATATTAAATTGCAATAACAAATGCTTTTTTTTTGTTTTTTTTGTTTTATGCATTTGATAGTGAAATGAACAAGTGGAGATCTCCTCAAGAGGTTGTTTAAAAGAATCTCTACCGTTCGTTTTACTTATCGAAGCCGAAAAGAGGGAAATTAGTGGTAACAAGGATTTAGAATTTCTGGAAAACTAGTGCACCAACCAGTCGTCTGTTTTTGTAAATTTCAGGGATGTTTTGCAGCAACTGACGAATTTCGGTCATGAACAACAAAAAGAGCTTCTTCGGCGACAGGAGGATCTTCAACGAGCACATGATCATCTGTTTGAGAATTCCAATTCCATGTTGTCAGCACAGGTGAATTACTGCTCCAGAAAACATCTCATCATGCAGTGTCTGAACAAATTTCTTAATGGTTTCCTCACCCTTTTTTTTTTCCATGCACAGGAAACTTTCGAAAAAAAGCAGGCAGCCCTTTTCATAGCTCTGGATAAGCTCTTCGCTTTGCACAATGCGTTGCTGCTCGAGTCACGGCTAATCAAAGCTTTCTTTCTGTATTCCATTTCTATGTTTGTTCTCTACATGTTCACAAGTACTAAGCAAACATACACAATCAGACACAGGCTTTACATTGGTATGTGCTCCATAATTCTTTCATATCATTCTCTCTGTTATTCTTAACATGTCCACCAATCATTTTTCTTTTTTTTTTCAGGTCTATGTGCTCAATTCTTGATTGAAGTCGCGATACTTCGATTCGCAACGACTGGTATCGAGCAGCAAACATGGTTGATCAATCTAGTGAGGTCCCTCTTTGTGCTTCTAGCCACGGTTCAGATATTACATGCTATTTTCACGTACAGGTAAGTTAAGAGCATGACAATCAACAGAGAGAAAGCATTTTTTATTTTCTTTTTTTTGCCCTCATACAACAAATGTCTAATGACGATTGTCCTTGGAAAATTCTTAGAGACTATGAAATGCTGAACTACGTTATGCTGAAGAACCTAACAGAGGAGGTAAACAACATGCGGCGAAAAGCGGAGTTGTGTTCGCAAACTGAGAGCGAGGTTGATTGGTCTACTTGGGTTGACAGTGAGATATTAGATGGAGTAGACAATCTCCAAGATCCGGATTATCTTGCACTTGGATATGAAGGAGAAGTTGTTGGAGAGAATTCAAATGCAACTTCTTCGGTTACTACTAGATACAATCTCCGGACTAGGCGTCACTGAATCTTATGCATGACATTTCTACAAGTGAAAATGATTGAGTGAATAAATGAAAATTTTCAACTGTATTATTCTCCTATGCACTTGATTTTAATGTTTGACCTTTGGAGCTCCACAAAATGATAATATGAGCTCTTTATTTTTCTTTATTTTTTTTCTTTTTTCATTTTAAATTTGGGGTGTGGGATTCAATTCTACAATTTATGGAGTCATATGTGAAATTATCACTAGACTGCGCGTGCAACAATTGTGATTTTTTTTTTAATGTAACCAAAATATGAGCTTTGTTTATTTTTTGAGAATGAGAATATGAGTTGTTTACTATCTAGACATTAGACTAAATATTCTCTCAGAAAATTCTCATAATAGAAATGATTGTACATTTTTTAATGGAAAAACAAATCAATATGCACCCGTAAATTCAGGGAAGAGAAACTATTGCACTTCTTTTTACAAAAGCAAAACAGAACGTCACTAAAAATGTTTTGGCTTTCAATCATACAAAACCAACCAAATAATGCTAAAAATAAAAGATATAAAAAAATATTGAATTGAGAGTCACTAGTATATTTGTGACCCCTTTTTGCGAGAGAAAAGAATCTATCTTATTACCTCCTATTTCTTGAGGTTGCTCCAACGAAACGTTTCGTTGGAATTTGTTTTTTGTCTATTTTTCTTTTGGTTTTTTTTTTCTCTCTTTTTGTCTGCTGTTCTTTTGTTATTTTTAACTTTTAGGGACAAACGGAGACAATCTCTAGTTTTTGATAATTAATTTTGAGATTAACCATTGTTTTAAAAGATCTCTCGCATGCAGAGCGCGTTCTTTTTCCTCACTCTTTCTCTATTATACATTTTTTTTTCTTTCCCTAAATGTGACCCTCATAATTATTGGCATGTTTAGTTCATAAGTTTAAACAAGAGAAGTTTGAACATAAAATTATGAAGGAAAGAATTTATCTTATTACCTCTCATAACCGAAGAATGGGTTTTTTGAGGCTGCTCAAACGAAACGTTTCATTGGATTTTTCTTTTTTTGTCTACTTTTTATTTTTTGGGTTTTTTTCTCTCTTTTTGTCTACTGTTCTTTTGGTCTTTTTTTTTTTTTTTTGATACAATAGGAGGGGAGAATGCCACTACTTTTAAATGGGGTTTAGGGTGACTTGAACTCAACCTATAGTTGGGGTGGAAGTGCTTACAACTAAATGAGTTGTCCTCACTTCACTCGTCGTTCTTTTGTTATTTTCAACTTTTAGGGATAAACTGAGATAATCTTTGTTTTTTGACAATTAACTTTGAGATTAACTATTATTTTAAAAGATCTTTTGCACGCGGAACGAGCATTTTTTCCCCCACTCTTGTTCTATTATATTTTTTGTATCGTTTCTCTAAATGTGACCTTCATAAATATATTTTTCTCTCTAATTTTCGGTCAAAATAATTTCTTATCATACATATCATTGTTTGAATTTATTTAATTCTCACGAAACGTTTTGTCACTGGTTTTCTTTTGCACTTTCCACCCCTTTTTACCTATTATACATTTTTTTTTTCTTTCTCTAAATGGCTGTCATAACTATTAGCATGTTTAGTTTATAAGTTTGAAATAAAATTTAAATTTTATGATAGAAAATAATATACCAAAAGGATCTGAAAAATAATTCAAATCTATGAAACAAATGCAGGGTATATTTTTGTCTCTGATTTTACATTTAAATAATTTTTCCTCATTCATATTCGTGCCTAAATTTTTGTAACTCTTTTCTCCACTAAAAAAGGTTTCGTCCCTGGTTTTCTTTTTTTTTTTCGTTCCTTCCTTTTCCTTTTTTTGTTTTTGTTTTTTTCTTTTTTTTTTAACATAAAAATATTGTCTTTAAAACAAATTTAATATGACTTATGGATCAAATATAAATAATGCTATTAAATTTCGCTATAGATCTCTCGCGCTTTCAACTAGTATGTTAAAAGAGGTTTGAACAAAACTTTTTTGTGGAACCTGAGAAACAAGCAAACGCTAATCAATTTATTTTTAACTACCAGTTCTTCCTTTATTGGCCCATTAAACAGGTTGCTCGGAAAGAGAGAAGGAAAGAAATAGCATAATTTGGCTTTAATTAAAAGTAAAGTTTAGAGATTGGAAGTAAATAACGTAATTTTACTAGGGCCCGTTCACTTTGCTGATTTGAGTTTGTAATTTGAGTTGAGATGTAATTTTGTGTGAGAGCTTTTTACTGTAGTAAAAAAGTTAGATGTGACTGTTTCTGAGAGCTTTTTACTGCAGTAAAACTCGAATTCTAAACTCGAATCAGCGAAATGAACGAGGCCTAGATGTGCATTTACTATTCTTTAAATACCAAGAATATCCTTAAACTATCAAAATTATAAAATTTACCATTCAAAAATTTTGTAGGGTCAAATATAATTGTTCAAAACTTTTGGATTGAAATAATTTTTTATATAAATTTTTAAATTCATGTTTTGACCCCTCAATTTTTATAAATTTACATGACCTTTTAATTTTAAAAAAAAAATAGAATTTGACCACTATTTTTAAAAAAATTAGAATTTAACCCTTGAATTTTTAAAAATTAGAATTTAATCTTTCAGTTTTTACAAAATTACAATTTGACCTAAAATTTTTAAAATCTTTACAAAAACACCTTTATTGGTTGGTAAATGATGCATTTACAAAGTAGATTCGTTATTTACTGCATAAACTAAAACTATTACCTAGTAAATAAAGAATTTACCAATACTTAAATGGTAGAACTAAAATCACAATTTGCATTTTAGCTCGTAAATAAAGAATTTACCGAGTTTGGGTGAGTGGCGCGGTGGGATGAGAGAGGCACCCAGGGTCAGACTCAGGGCGTGGGGGTTGCAGCTAGGCCTCTGTTCTCTTTTTTCTCTTCCTATGATCGATCTAGAACTGTGTTAGGGTCTGGATAGAAACCAACGGATGACATTTTAAGCTCAATTGCATTGACGATTTAGACATTTTATAAGAATGCGAAGTTACATAAAATATGCTGTATTTATATTTGTGGTTTTTTATTGTTATTGTTTCTTTTAAATTTTTAATACCCTCTACAAGATTTGTTTTAGACTTTAGTTTTGCTAAAAGAAGGAAAAACAATTTATACTAGGAAAACAATGAAGGAAATCTAAAAAAAATGCATTTTTTTCGGACGACATAAAAATTCTATTTTTATGTATATCGCAAATTCATCGATACATGTAGGAGATTGTAACTCTTTGTATAGCTTTATATTAAATGTTAGTGTTTGGTTAAATTGTGTAGAGAATTTTTCTACTAAACAAATAAATTAAATATTGGTAGGTTTTGGGCCAGGCTAAGGGATATTATGTAATAAAAAATCAATTTCTATTATAAATAAATCCTATTTATTGCTAATAGTAAGTAACATTTTGGGTTATGTACATAAATCCTAATATAAGCATACTAAAATTTCAATAGACCATAACCCCTCTCTATTACATTGTTTTGAATTGGCCACTCTGAACCAAAGTTTTTTAAAAAAATATAACTCTCATCAGCATGCATCAGTAACTTTCAACAAAGTTTCACCCATATTTTCCACTCATATACCATCCAATTTATCCAATTTCGTATGTAGATAGAATCCAACATGGTAGTCATAGTCAAGGGCACGAACAATTTCTACTTGAAGTTATTGTTTTCTTGTGGTCATAATGTCAAGTTCTTTCTGCCAATGCTCCCTTTACTTGAAACCTTTAAACCATATTTGGCTCTTAAACACTAAAAAGAGAGTTGGATTATTGTAGACTTAGAAATAAACTATAAGATATTTATAAGTCTAGTTATTATATATAGTTTAGTAGAGATGTAATAATGAGCCGGCCCAGGCCCATACTGACACAGTGACGGGATGGGTCGGGCCGGCACGGCCCGTCACTGTTCAAAGTACGGCCCAGTCCATAAATATTAATGGGTCGGGTTGGGCCAACATATATCGACCCATGGGCCGGCCCGACACGGCCTATGAAAAATCATGGGCCAGGCCGGGTTGGGCCGGCCCGTCTAGGCCCATGATGGGCTAGCCCAGTCTGGCCCGTCTAGGCCCATAATGGGCCGGCCCAGCCCAGCCCATCTAGGCCCATAATATCTTCATGTTTTTTTTCTTTTTTTAAGTAATTTTGTAAGCATTTTAGGTATAATTATCCTGATTGTACTCTTTTTTTCTTACTAACGTTTTGTCCTACTGGATTTTCCATAAAAAGATTTTTATGTAATGAGGTAATCGTAAATAAAAGATCCCTTTTCATATTTCCATTGACAATTTAAATTTATATATTTATTAACTTGTTTAAAAATTTAAAAATTAAAAATTTAAAAATTAAAAATTGCATGCTTAGATGGGCTGGCCCATCTAAACCCATGATAGGCCAAGATGGGCCTTGAGTAGGCCAGTCTATTCAAGACCCATGGTACGGCCCATCCTGGCTCGGGACACGGCCCAGCTTGACCCACGTAAAATTGGCCCGTGGTGTGGGCTTGGGTCGATGTCATTCTTATATGGGCCGGCCCACGAAATTCATGAGCTGGGCTGGTCCGGCCCGCGGCCCGCGTGGGCCTAAGGAGAACGTGTCAAGCCGGGCCAAGCCGACCCGTTCTTGCATCTCTACAGTTTAGTTATCTTGCGCGCCCTAAAAAACTTGAATTGTTGATCATGCATGCATTATGCCAAATTTACCAGATTAGCTTTTTCATTTCCATCAAAGTTTTAAGCTTAGTCATTATCAAATAGTGCCCACTATTATTTTTCATCATTTTGATGGATCTACTTTATTCTTTGTGTCATTTTCAGTTTATTTTATTAAAACTACGGAAAAAGTAGTGGAGGAAATTTAATTGGAGCTTAGCACTTCGCGCGAAGTCGTATGCATTAAGCAAACGATAACATGAATGGACCTTGAAAGGTACATTTTATTTGCAGATTCATGTAAATATACTTGGAAAAATTTTAATAATTCCCCAAACTTTAGGTCTTGTAAAAATTTACTACCCGAATTTTAAAAGTAACATCTGTTATCCGCACTTTGAAACAATAACAAGTTTACCCGGTTGTAGACATTATGTGCGATGTGCTATTATTTTAGATAAGAAGGTTAACTTACGACAATGGCGTTAAATTACAGGTTTTCTGTTCCTCTTTCTGTACCCAAAAAGAGCTCCAAAAAATCGCAAGTAATTCTCTCAACACGCTTTTTACTAAAATGTCCACTTTCAAGTCGCATGCATGCCACATGGGCTTTCTGGTTTAGAAACTAATAGATGAAACAAATTTGTTGGATTTGAAAGTTTGGGGTTGGAGTTTGGGGGAGAATAAATGTTACATTCTGAAATTTGTGGAATAAATTGCAACAAGACCTAAAGTTCAGGGGTAAATTCTTTCTTTTGTGTTATTTCCTTCTAGTAATTATTGATTGCATATATTTATAAATATATCGCTTTCTAGTTACTTTTTCCTTTATTAATAAGTATATTTGGCTCATATATGATTCTCTTGCAAAGTTGGATGCCGGCAAGTGGAATAAGACAAGATAGAATAGGGTTAAAGTTAATCATATTGGGCTTATTAAGGGGGAAAGAAAAAGCTTCAAACTCAATCATGGAACAAATATGTCCGACTATATATATATATATATGTATATAATATATGGTACAAATCCCAATATTCTATACGTAATAGAGACCCTCTATTCATCCTTCAGTCATTCAGCTGACTCGGGATTAGAGGCTGGTGGTCCCTTTTTCTATCGCTCCTTATAACTAGTTTGTCGACAAATTTTCGTCAAGAATAAATTCGACCAAAAAATAGTGGGGGGTAAAAAATTGCTCTTATTCTATGGTGTCCAAAATTTTTGCGTCCATTAAATCGTCACCGTTTGAAATTTTACAATCTAAAATTCTCTCAATCCATATTTTAGTTCTTGCAAGTTGTATTTCTCCCAAATCGTTAATTAGTTGTTAGGCTGCTATAATGTTATACTCTCTTTTTTTTAGTTAGTTTTTGGGATTAGTTCTCTTTTTCTTTTAGTTAGTTTTTGGGATTAGTTCTGCCTAAACCCATTTTTTATGATATTAGAGTCACACTTTTGCATTCGATAATAAGTTTAGACTCATGTCTATTTGCATGGCGCACTACGTATGAGGGAGAGTGTTAAGAGTTAATTGTGTCCTACATCGTCAAGTTATTAGTCATGATAATGTTTATACATAAACGTCTGGCACCTACTTTCCTTAAGTTAGGTTTTCAGGATGAGTTCTATCTAAACCCGTTTACCATTAATCACGAACTTTTCAAAAAAAAAAAATCTAAATTAATAATGCACGTGTTTTTTTTTTCTTTGAATGAGCTAGTCTTCGTAGCGCTAAAATTTTAATCTTTAAAAGTTTCATTTCCAAAACTCTCTCATCAAGTTTTGAAGGATGTTATCCACGGTATAGTACTTTGATTAAGTTTGAAGTGAAAAAAACAAAAAGATAATACGTACTAAGATCTAATACAATGCATGAATCAGAAGTGGGACAACCACACAAACCATAGTGATCAGCTGATAAGGATAAGGTTTCATTAATGATGATGATTATGAAATCGTTCTTTCTTATGATTCCTAAGTACTAATTAAACAGTACGGTACACATACTTTGTCCCTGATCCAAAAGGGCACAGTTATACTTAGATAAGAGCGATGTTATTTATTCCGATGAAGATAAATCCCTACTCTCTCATAAAAAGTGAGGCCCGTATATGAATCTCACATAAGTTTTGTAAGTGGAGCCCTCTTTATGAGAGAGTGGGGATATATCCCATCAAGTTGTACAACATTTTCCATTAGATATAAAACTATACAAAAATCACGTTACTTTCCTTCATTCAAATCAAACAGAATTTTTTGCTTTTTCTTTTGGTGGTAAAATGGAGTCAGTTGAAAAAAGAAAAAAAATAAAATCAGAGAGAGACTAGAAACAATGAATAAGTTCCATCATCCATGCATACTCAACCGTACGGGTGGCTGTCACTAGTTATACCACTAGTGCACAATATTATCAATTCTTAGCTGACTGCCAAATTCTAATTCTTTTTTCTTTTACAAATAATAATAATAATAATAATAATAATAATAATAATAATGATAATGTTTGATGAAGCAGTGGACTCCATAGGTGTGGTCCTTTGCGTCCCACTTTTTATGGACAACACCAAACCACATCATTACTCATCTTTAGGCTCTCTACACATTTCATATCTTTAGCTTTCTAAATATTGAGCTCCTTCATATGATTGTGAAAGCATTATATACAATTTTAGGTATTGAAAATCATACAAATTTTAAGGGATACATTTTTTTTTTTAGTTTTTATTTTTGTGTGGACATTTATAGGATATATTGTATGCGATTAGTAAACAAGAGCAAGGATAAGCATGAATCAATTCTTATCTAAAAAACCTTGAGAATTTTTTTAATTGCTTACAAGCCTATAATGCTTTTCCCAGATTATTGAATTTTTCATTACTTAGGGCCGGCTTTTGGGTTCAACATAATCGTCAATCAATATTGAGTGATAATGGGGGATGTTATATAATTATTATGTTTGTCTAAGAAAGTAGGTGTGTTTGTCTAAAAAAGTAAGTAAAAAAATATATCAGGAATTTATTCTCATATCTTCTCAGATAAAAAAAGTGAGAGTAGGGTCTGATCATTTAGACCATGCTTTTCCTTGCCTGTTGTAAGACCGTGATACCAAAGTATGCTTAATTAATTTATTGGCATTGAAAATTAATACTTAGAAATTGGCTACTAGTAATTAAATTAACTATACTTAATAAGCACGTCACGTTGTAAAAAGGTACTTTAGTTAGTGGAAAATATTAAACCTAGCCTATTGAAAGCCGTTGTGGCTTGATCACCTACTATTTCTATACACCAATAAACAAACAAATTTTCCTTTTTTGGATAACCTATATTAATTAATCTCGGATCAATTCAAATCCAACCAAATTAAATTAATCTCATCTTAATTTCTTCTGATGCATTTACATATCCTCTAGTTTTGAATTCAAGGTCCAATGGGAAAAAAAAAAAATTGTTTTCATACAAAACTAAACCAAGGGGCAAGGGCTATATTTACATGTTTGTGTAAAATATCATGTCAATGTATATGTATCAATACGTCCCGCCCCTTCCATACAAGAAGAAGAAGGTAAAAAATAAAACATAAAAAATGTTCTCGAGGGGTATCATTAGAAGCATGTGACACTAATTAAACAATTTGTTCAAACAAATTCCTTAATCCGAGCCGTACATGGCGTGCCACTTGATTATTGATTCTAGTTCATTTCTTGCGTCGTATTCGCAATAATTAATCAAACATGTTCATCTCTGTGGACCGTAGTCCACAACAGCTAATAAAATATGGACAAAAGAAATGCTGCAAAGTTTGTATAATAAAAATATTTGTTTCAGTAATCTTTGTCATATTCTGAATCTAACACCCATCTGGTTATAACATTCGTTGTCTATATATGTGATTTATCCGTCAATAAAATATTTAAAAGATAAATAATAAACCAATATATGGTACTCCCATATATTATTTAGAAAGAAATTTTATATTCTTCTATACGGTCTCTGCTAGCAAATTTCAGAATAATAACATATGTAGGCTATATATACACACCCACTCAGTTACTTTAAATCTAGGGCTTAAATGCTAATATAGAAATTCCACGGACACATCATTGAATTTATATATTTAATGAGTAACCATTAATAAAAAAGTAACTGTTGAAAACTCATACCCACACATAATATATATATATATATATATATATATATATGTCAGATGCTTTTCCGGCACACTAAGTGAAGATTAATTTATGCTTGCGCATATAGTTTAGAACCATTTATGCTTTTGTAACTTGACGAGACTCGATTGCAAAAAGCTGAAGAGAATAAAAATTTATACATGTATATATACACTACCCTAAAAGCAAAAATTCCACAAAATAAAAAAGATCTAAAAATATACAAACACATATGTTGTACTTCTCATCCCCACTAAACATAATGCATATATCACTGCCGGTACAAATACGGGAATAAAGTTTACATGGAGATCCCACAAAAGTCTAAACATAAAAATCCCTATTTTCTTTTCTTTTCTTTTTCCTCTAAACCAAACAATTTTGCTACTAATTACATTATTTCTCTTTTTATTTTTATTTTTTAAGTTTTTCACATCAAGATTGCATAGCGCATGCTGTCACTTACCATGAGATGGTTCATCTCTGAAATCTGCGCAAACTCGCCACTAGCCCAGACACCATAAGCAGTGAAGTTGTTACCACCATTAACGTGACTATGAGGTTGAGAGAAGCACGAAAACAATGACAGAATCGGAGCTCGAACGACGCTGCAAATGATCGCAAAACCCTTCCATCTCGGCGGTGATCTTCTGTCCATGATTGGCAACTCGGCTTGGTTCGTTCCCCCTCCAAACATGCTCTCATCTGCCACTCTAGGGCTCTTCCTTATGTTTTGCCCTAGAATTCCCAGCCGACGCAGCATCTTAATTATTATTTGATTTGATGCTGGGAATTATTGAAAGGGTCAATTGGGGCTAAGAGAAAGGCTTTGAAGAGGTTAGAGAAGTTGAATTATGAAAGGAATTTGAGGAGACCAAACTTTTGATCTATTGTGGGCTTTTCGGTAATGGCGCGTTGGTGGTGGAGTTGCTAGTGCTAGTGTTTATCACAAAGGTTTATGGATGCCTTTTAAGGACTTCTCAACAATAGTTTGTTTCCTTTTTTCTCTGTACATGTGGGGCATATAAAAGGCCAACATGCCGACAAAGGTGCCTAATTATTACACTAAAGACTTTCTAAAACACTCATATTTTTAGTACTTGTACCTCCTTTATTGCCAATAGAACTATGTGGAATTCTCTCAAATATAAAAAGAAAAAAAAAAAAAAAAAAAAAACTTACACCTATTATTGTGAAAACGTTAAAAGTCTCATCTTAATGTAAGATTTCTTATATTCTATGCTTCTCTTTACCGATAGATAGATATCTTCGTATTCTCCAAAATTACATAAAACTTCTTTCAATTTGAAACTTCTAAAATTCCTTTTATTGGAAAAAATGTGTGAATTGTGGCTACCGATAGTACCTATATCTAGTTTCAAATCTATAATTTTTGAGAACTTTTCTTTTATTATTATTGTTGACAACTCCCATTATTTAGTGTATGCTAAAGTTGGCACCTTTTAAACACTCATCCTTTACCAAGCCCTCTACTCAATATTAATATTACCAAATGAAAAAAGAAAATTACAAAGTATCTCAATAAAAATAACCGCACCAAAAGAGAAAACAAAGCAACAAAAAAAAAAAAATCTCCCTAAACAATCCTTAAGCATCTTCCCAAATAGAACTGAGCCCTCATTAAAACCCTTAGAAACTTATAAGAAAAGGAAAAATTGCACATTTTATCCTTTTAAATTTTCGAATTAGGATTTATCATTTTCATATACAAGTCCAGATCTGCTGTCTCAGATGGCTGTCTCTTTAGTCGTCCCTCCAATAATATTTTGACACCTCTTTATAACTTAACACATCAGCTCTTTTCTTATTCTGCTTCACACGGCGTTAGAAACAAAAAGAAAAAGGACGGAGACGTCTTTTCATTTTTCAAAACGGGATTTAGGTTTATTCCTTCATGTGACATTAGGAAAAAAAGTAAAAAGGGTTTATCGCTAAAACCTCTTACCTCTTCCTTCATTTGAAATTAGGAAAAAAAAGTAAAAAAGAAAGCCTCAAGGTATCTTCTGCCAACTCAAGGTATTTTTTGTTATTATTTTTCATTGAAGAATTGTCTTGTCAAAATATGGGTTTCTTGTCCTTTTCTTTATTATATTATTCATGTATAGCTTTTTTGGTTTGTTTCCCACTACAATGAATTACTTTTCTTATATATAAATATAATTCTATTTTCATCCTTTCTTATGCTTTTAACGGATTACTTTTACATCAGATTGCTTTATTTTCTTTTTTATTCCCACTTTAATGGTAATTAAATATTTCAATTGTTTTTAAGAGAAGTCCTCTGTTAAATAAATTATTAAGAGCTTTATTTTTTATTTTATGGTTTTTTATTATGCTATGACAAAAGATATGGCAACAATTTTTTTTTTTTTTTTTTTTTTTGTGAAGGTTATGGATGACATTAATTTTATTTTGGAAGAATGTTAATCTCGTAAGAAGTTAGATTTTGACAATGAAGGTTGCGTTTGATAGTGCTTCTTGGAGACCAAAATCACTTCTCTAGCTATCAAAATCTGATAATGGTGTTTGGTAAAAACCATAAAAAGTGATTTTTAAATAACTTACAGCCAAAATTAGAAGCAGCCTAAAAGTAACTTTGACTTTTATATTGTGCGGGAATTAGCATAGTACAATTAATGATTATCAACAAAGTTATATTAAATAGTTAATTATTAATTACTAATTATATTATATATTAATTAATAATTAATAAATAAATATACTTAATAACTAATAAATAGATAGTAATTACTTAATTATTAATTAAATTTTGTTGATAAAATAATAAATAATACAGTAATTATTTATTTAGTTAAAGATTAATTAATAATTAAGCAATAAATAAATATTTAATATTTAATATTTCAATCATATATTATGTTAATTATAATCTATTAATTGGTAAATACTTGGTAAATAAAAAATAAATATTAAGTACTCAATTAATAATTAATATTACATAATATATTAATCAATAATAATTAATATTACATAATATATTAATCAATAATAATTAATAACTTATTATTAGTAATTAATCATTATAAAAAGAATAATTATCAAAAAATGATCATGTGTATATCAAATAATAGATTATTAAATAAACATTAGTAATTAATTAACTAATTAGTTAATTATGTAATTAAAAGTTAATAATTACGTATAATCTAATAAATATGAGTGCATTACTAACATAATAATTACTTATAATTAATTACTAATTACTATTTTTAATTATTTAGCATATATATTTATTATATATATAGTTTAGTTAGTAATGTACTCATTAATAATAATCTATCCATTAGGATTATATGATTAATATATTAATTTTTATTTGCTAAGTAATTATCAATTATTAATTACTTTATATATTAATTTAAAATTATTAATTACAGTCATCTTAGTTACCCACAGCAATTCAACCTCACAATTTACCAAACGATATTAAACTACTTTTGGAACCAGCAACACTTGTATAATTAAAGTTTACCAAACACTCAGCTGTTTTTTGTAACAACTGTTTTTTCTTTCAACACAGCTAAAAGTAATTTTTTCATAATCTAGAGCACTACCAAACTGGTCCGAAGAGAATGATATGTTCTTAGACACCACGACAATATCGGAAGTTGAGAATGAAAATGTCGAAGCTAAATTTGACGGTACTAAAAAAATTGTGACCCTTCAAGATCCCAGATAGTGTGATGCCAAAAATTGATATGGAGTTTGAAACTGAGGAAGACGCTTACACTTTTTATAATGATTATGCCCGCAAAGTGGGTTTTAGTATTCAGAGAAGTAAGGGACATAAAGATATTAGTCTTGGTAAGATAATGAATAGAACATTTTGTTGCTCTAGTGAAGGTACTCGTCAAGTAGATAAACGACGTCTTATTGTGAAATGTCGTCATGCCGAAACAAGGTTTGGTTGTCTTGCAAGAATGAAAATCAATTGTTGTCAAACTGGTAAATATATCGTGTTATCGAGTTTATTGCTGGTCATACACATGTGACATTAAGCCTTAACAAGAGTCACTTGCATAGGCCTCAAAGGAGATTGACTGCTGCCCAAGCAACTGAAATTGATAGCTGACAACTCAAGAATTGCTCCGAGAGCGAGCTACGAATTAATGGCTAGGAGACCAGGTGGGCCTGAAAGTTTCAGTTGATTATCAGAATTATTTACGCATTAAACGGACAATTCAAATGATGTTAGATGAGACAGATGATGTCCATGCATATCTTCACCGCATGCAATTGGAAGATCTTTCTTTCTTTTATGCTCTATAGTTAGACAATGAAGGGTTGATTACTAATTTCTTTTGGACAGATGCACAAATGAGATTAGCGTACTCTCATTTTGGTGATGTTATTTGCTTAGACATATCTTATAAGATAAATCAAGAAGGTCGGCCTTTCGCCATGTTTTTTGGGTTTAACCATCATAAGTAAACTACTATTTTTGGAGATGCGCTTCTATATGATGAGACAACAGAAACATTCATTTGGTTGTTTGATACTTTTACTTAAGTAATGACAGGAAAAAAGCCAACGACAATTAATCTTATCGATCAAGATGCAACAATGGCAAAAGCAATAGCTTTCCAGTGGCCAGAAACAACTCATCAGCTATGCATTTGGCATTTATATCAAAATGCTGTAAAGCATCTTAGTGGAGTTTTTGAACACTTTCGGGAATTTTCTACATATTTTAGTCGGTGTATATATGATTATGAAGAAGAGGAAGAAATTTTAGAAGCTCGGCATGGGATGCTTGCGAAATATTATCTTCAAGATAGGTTGAAGCGAATTTTCAGTTGGAAGGAGAAATGGGCGTTAGTCTATGGTAGGAATACTTTTTGTGCAATATGATGACTACTAAATGCAGTGAAAGTATGAATAGCTCTTTGAAACGTTATGTCAGCTATAAACATGATCTACTGTAGATTTTTTGCCATTTTCAAAGCTTGATTGAGAACCGATATGATGAAGAGCTAAAGGCCGATTTCAGAGCAACTCAAAGTAATATATCGCTATCACAATTTCGAAACACGCAGCTTCTATATACACCCCAATAGTGTTCAAAGTATTTGAAACTGAGTTGGGGGGAAGGCTTATGATCGTTCAATGGAGACGTCTCTTGAGGTTGGAACAGTAACAGAGTACAAACTTTTTCCTCTTGGAAAACGCTCTTGTCATACTGTTAAATATGACTCAACTAATGGGATGGTAATTTGTAGTTGCAAAAAGTTTGAGTTTGTAGGGATTTTGTGCTACATATTCTTAAAGTTCTCTCTTCGAAAAAAATTATGAAAATTCATGCGCAATACATTCTAAGAAGATGGACAAAGCATGCAGAGACGAGAACAATGACAAGGCCTATAGACAAGAATTGTACGACTAATGAGGATCCTAAGGCAAGTATGGCAAGACATTTCAAAGATTTATGTAAATTACAAACTCAAGTAGCAACAAGGGGAACGGAAATTGTATAATCGTATAAAATTGCTTTAAACGGTCTTCATAAGATTTTAGAAGATATTGATGTGAGCAAAAAAAGTGCACGGATTACAACACATAACCGTGATGAGAATAATGTTGTTAATGGAGTTGATAGAGTAATAGGAATTAAGCATAAGGAAAGAGTTCGTGGGAGCTCTGTTAGGTCAACAAGTGCTCTTGAAAAGGCCCCAAAAAAAAAGAAAAAAATTATCCAAACTCATCAGGTATGTTTAATCAACTTATTATCACATCTTTAAATTGTAATAATAAAAACTATACTTTACGTTATTTTTTATGAACGATTTGCATGTTTCTTCTGATCTTATTTTACACGAATAATTTAATAATGAAGTACCAAGTAGAGGTGTTACCATTCCAACTCAATAAAATAA